CACAGTCAACGATGGACAGATGTTTCGTGCTTTTTGGCAACTCACCAGCATCGTCTAGGCTTGGTTTCAGGTCGGGACAACGAACGAAAGCATAGCAACTACCCTCTATCTGAGGTATAAGATCTATCGAAACAAGACAGTATAAGGTGCTATCTATTGCCAGAATCGCAGTTTATTCTGGCTTATTTTGACAGTTGGCATATTATATCGAAACAGTAAAAGAAGACAAAGAAAAATGTATTCGTCAGACACGATAAAGTGGGATGGGATGAAGCGTTTACCGTGGGCTGATGGACTTTCTTTGGCTGAATTAGCGGCAATTTTTACTTTAGCTTCGTCATCAACGTCGTCGTCAAACAGAGATCAGACAGAGACCTCATCCGTCAAATACCATAAATGCTGGCAGAATGTTTGTGAAGCTGCTTGTAAAATGGTTTTGTCAATTCTACCATAAGCCGTCATTGCCTTCAAAAAGCATAAGTTCTGGTTAGGTGCTTTCACCGCTAAAGTGCATTGCAGTCAAGGTTTCATGTATGTTGTCACGATGAACAGGCAGATATCTATCAGAGCTGCAGAAAGTTATGCTTTGGAAAAGAATACTATAAGTGTCCAAAAGATTTCAACACAATACTGAATCGCTGAGAAAGAAAGATATAATACGTGCGAAATTATACAATCAATAAACTATGAAATTTGCCAAAAGAATATCATTATAAAAGGTTTGGTCTAGGAATAGGTTCTCTATAATCAATAAATAGAAATTCAAATTATTGACAAGTAATCAAAATAGTAAAAAAAAGGTAACGTGATCTAGCACCTGACATCCAACTTGCAGAAAAACTTGCAAATATAAACACTAAAATGCACGAATGATTGACTTGCCACGCGGAATTGCATGCATTTGTTGCTTTTGCAAATAAATTCTGTTTTGACAGAAATTACCCCGATAGCATTAAATATTCATTAAATATTTTAAAAAAATGTTTGTTAAATATTTGTATCGACAGACTTTTTAATATTTAATAAATATATTTCTTATATATTTATAAAATATTCATTATATATGTTTGTAGTGTATATATATAATTCATATATTTTTGCGATATTTCTTTCAAATATTTAAAAAATATATGAGGAAAGATTTTTAAATATCAATTTTATATTTTGATGAAATATATAATATTTTTCGTAAATATGTATGGATTTTCAAGTATTAATCTGATACATACTTTTAATGTTGATAGAAAATTCTTCATTGGTCATTTTAGCAAAACCTGTAGGAATGCTTATACAGGGTTACAGGAAAAGTCGTGCTAGATCCGTTAAGGGCGTGTAGTACCCATCATTTCTGACTTATTTCATTATGAAACACCCTACCCTAAACTTAACCCTTTTCGAGATATTCAACTTTTAATGTTTTTATTGAAAATTGCCGATTTTTAGGCTACTAAATGTATTTATTTTTATTTTGTGTGTGTTATTATTACTATTATTGCATTTTAACATGTGTAATAAGATGCTTTAGGACGTCAATCATTAAAATAGTCCATAAGTTAATTGAATAGGCCGTAGTAGATAAGTGAATGTTAAGAAATTGAAAAAAATATCAGAAAGTTTATTTTTCTCGAAGGGATATCTAAAAAAAATATTATGGCAATTGTTCGGCAGATGTGTTTTAAAATATCTATGTTTTATCAGCTATCTAACGAGGTATAACAATCTAGGATTTGTATTACATTTCGTAGAAAAAAAGTAGTTGGGACGCTCCAGTAGCAGTTCCCACGCCTATTCTCCTTCAAGTTTAGACGCACCGTGCGAGCGAGATATGACGATTTAATGTGGGTGCGAATGAAAGAAAACATATTATAATAACCGGTTAGGGCTGGAAATCCAACACGGGATATTGTTTTGATTGTCAGTCTGCTTTTGTGCTTCGTACATAGTAGATGTGATATCGTTTTGCTCTTTTCCTCGACTTGGCTACGATTCTGGACTATTTCTTCTGATTTGTGAATACTGTGCTTGTTCACTGGACTCTGATTTGTACTTGTGATACGGAAGTGTTGAAGATGACGTCCTACACACCTGAGGAATATGCTGATATGCTTATTTGTTACGGATACTGCGATTGTGTATATGCGCAAGCTCGCAACGAATACAGAACTCGCTTCCCCGGTCGTCGAGTGCCGGATGTGGCCGTTTTTAACAGAGTTTATCTAAGACTTCGAGAAACTGGCTCTGTTTTGAGACGAAATACAGACCTGGGAAGACCACGAATTTATGACAACGAAGAACTGCAGGACAATGAGATAGTGCAACGCTTTCGAGCGGATCCGACCATTTCCACTAATCGTGTTGCCCGTGATCTGGGACTTTCGCAATGGAGAGTGTGGTTTACAGTGCATACTGCTGGCCTATACCCGTACCATTACACGCCGGTACACACTATTGAGGAAGGAGACCCCGCGAGAAGGTTGGACTTCAGCAGATTTATGCTAAATGCTGACGTAGAAGACCCAGATTTTCTAAGAAATATCTTATGGACAGATGAATCCAAATTTGATAACGATTTCATAACTAACTATCACAACGCCCATTACTGGGCCCCAAAAGTACTAAGGAATCCCAATAAGAAAAGAGTGGCGAGGTCCCAACGAAGATTCAGCGTGAATGTGTGGATGGGCATTATCTCCAACCATTTGATTGGACCTTACTTTCTCCCGGACAATCTAAATGGGGAAAATTACGAAAACTTCTTGAGAGGAGACTTCAGAGATTTGCTGGATGATCTGCCACTCAACTTGAGAAGGGACATGTGGTTCCAACATGATGGCTGCCCTGCCCATTTCAGGAGAAGTGTCAGAGACTGGCTGGACACAAATTATCCAAACAAATGGATAGGACGAGGTGGGCCGTTGCCATGGCCAGCAAGAAGTCCGGACCTAACCCCCATGGATTTTCATGTGTGGGGGTGCATGAAAAGTCTTGTCTACAGCGAGCCAAATCCAGTTTCGTCTGTGGAAGAATTAAGAGAAAGGATTGTCGATGCAGCAAATCAACTAAGGACAACGTTGACCACTGCAGTTGTAAAGACTGGTCTCCGTAGAAGGATGCGACAATGTATTAGAAACAGAGGCAGCCATGTTGAACATGAACTGTAGAGTAAGAAAAAGTTGTGTGAAAACCTGATTTAATAAATGATATTTCATGCTTACCTATTGTTTCATTTTACTTTTTAGGGCTAAGTATCAATTTTCTTCTCCACTGTCGCCTATGAAACTAAGTTTTTTCAATGCATTTAAATAAAATCCTAGATTGTTATACCTCGTTAGATAGCTGATAAAACATAGATATTTTAAAACACATCTGCCGAACAATTGCCATAATATTTTTTTTAGATATCCCTTAGAGAAAAATAAACTTTCTGATATTTTTTTCAATTTCTTAACATTCACTTATCTACTACAGCCTATTCAATTAACTTATGGACTATTTTAATGATTGACGTCCTAAAGCATGTTATTACACATGTTAAAATGCAATAATAGTAATAATAACACACACAAAATAAAAATAAATACATTTAGTAGCCTAAAAATCGGCAATTTTCAATAAAAACATTAAAAGTTGAATATCTCGAAAAGGGTTAAGTTTAGGGTAGGGTGTTTCATAATGAAATAAGTCAGAAATGATGGGTACTACACGCCCTTAACGGATCTAGCACGACTTTTCCTGTAAGAAAATTCATTCTAGATATAATGGTTTAATTTGCTAGAAAAATATTATCAAAAAAACATTCTAAGCCCCTTCTACATCTTGCTAGTCCACTCCTCTGAAAAAAAACTTACTAATTATGAAGTATTATTGAATACATAAGCTGCTTTCTAGTGTATTTGTTGGTGCTGAGCCTGATGAGTTACTCCGAGTACCTCAACTGGGTCACTGAAAAAGGGCCCCACATTTTATGTCTATGATAGTTCGAAATTTGGTTAATTTTTAAGAAAATTTAGTACGTGATTTTAGATATCTTGATGAAAAATATCCATGGGCACAACTTGATCCTTTGACTAACACTTATTGATTTTGTTGAAATGTGACTTTTTTTTAGTAGTACACTTCAAGGCTAGTTATTTATGGTCTTATGAATACCTTTATACTCAGCTGGCACAATAATGTTTACTAGTCAGATAAATTAAGCTATGTAATTATCGAAAAACCTACCATTTTCCCTTTAACACAAAAAAAAAAACTCAAATAATGAACCACTTGGAGATACACAGGAAGCACGCTATCATAGTGAAAGTCACAGGTAAAATGGCTGCCGTCTCAGGCCGACTTGCTATTATCTCATTGGTCGCTCGAGGTCACACGCACATGCGCCGTAGCTGAAAATATTTAATGAATATTGTCTAAATATTGGAGATTTAATATTTTCCATTGATTGAAGAGTAAATATTTAATGAATATTATAAAAGAAATATTGTATTTAAAATATTTAAAAGATATGGAATAAATATTTAATAAAAATATTATATTTATTTAAGAAAACAATTATACGTATTTAAGTAAGATAAAAATATTATTAAATATTAAATACATATTTAATGAATATTTAGTGCTATCGGGGTGCTTGCGCAACTAACAACTTTCTGCTAAAGCTGTATTTGCGCGCTAGCTGTACTTTCCAGTGTGAACCTGTTGCTTGCAGACAACTACTACTTCAAAACAAGTGACGATAGTGTTTGGTCTTGTGCTCTGTGCACTGAGTTCTACGAGCCCCTTCCCACTTCAGTTGGCCCAACTATTGAAATCTTAGTTTTTTTCTTATCAAACACAAATAATAAAAATGTAGCAGCATAAAAATACACATGTTGCAATTACAGCATATCAACCTATTTTCATTTCAATGCAAAATAAGTCTATAACGCATAGGTGGCTGTGAAAAATAAAAGCCATGGGTTTCTAGCAGTCCAGATCTGTCACCTATTGAAACTTTGTGGCACGAGATGAAAAAGGTTCTACGACAACATCCTGCTCGTACAATCACCGAACTGAGACAAAAGCTTCAAGAAATATGGGATTGTTTTACACCAAAATTTTGCTAAAACTTGGTTAGCGCTATGCCCCAAAGAATTTTAGCCGTAATAAAAAATAAAGGTGATGTTACCCAATGGTAATCTTTCAATTGTTGCTTTGTTAACTTCGCGCATTTATTCGCACATTGTTTATTTGTTCAGATGTTCTACTAGTTATAGGTCTATGTGATTTCAATTATGTATTTTTTACGACTAGAGTGTATCTAAAATGTTTTCGAGAAAATAAATTGTTTTAGAAGTAAATGTTTAGTTTATAAAGGCATATTTTGGTACAAATCTTGAAGTGGGCCAAGTGAAGTGGGAAGGGGCTCGTAGGTTAAATTTTGTGTTATAATTACTTAGCGAGTTGTCATGGCTGATCCAGTGTTGAACAGTGAAGGTGACCTTCGTTCTCTCCTCTTTATTTTTGATAGTAACTCGTTTGCTTATTCAAAAAGCTGATCGCATATAACACTAACTGCAACTCACTATAGCCCGAACTTCTATATAATTCGCCATTCCGCACCAGAAGAAGAACTGCACTGACTGGACTTTAAGCAAATTTTCCTTGCAAAGGTAGTTGTGTAGGGCTTGAATGCAAGTTCAGCTAGCATCAACTCGCATGTCCTACCTGCCAGTGTAAGCTCCCCTTTAGCGTAAACGACTCGATGCGAGGACGCGACGCAACAGCAACGATGATTTATGATGTCGCCGTAGCCGCCTGCGTTTATTGTCAACGTTTTCATTTTCGTGGCAGCCTCTTCGCTTTGACCCTTCAAGCATGAGCGCATAACCGACGGGTGTCTCTCGTTCTTTGTTTACGTCATCATCTGCAGTCTCCATGGTGAACTTGGGCGGGGATATTTTAAAATCAGAAACAAGAGATATATGGGACTGTCATAATGTAGCAGATAAAGGATTAACATAGACTTCGGGCGATAGAGAGATTCTGAAGATGTCAGCCGCTCGTGTTGGTGCAATCTGGGTCCGTTCAAGTATTACGTAAGCAGATTTATTACAATTATTTACCCCCCATCCCCCTTGTCAGCAAAAGTAAGCAAAGCTCTTACCCCCTCCCCCCATGCTTACGTAAACATTGGTCAATTAATGTATTGTTTTTTTAAATATTATAATTATAATTTGAAAAATAAGAAAATAGATTTAGGATAGAGATTATATTTTACTGATTCGATATTCAACATAGAGTAAAGGACAAAAATATTATATCTTACTAACATAACAAACTTATTTCAAATTTTTGGTACATATATTAAATTCAAATTAAGTCTTCAGTCCATGAAACCCGAATCCATGATTCTAAGTTTTCGATGACATTGGATTGCTTCGATTGCTGCTCAGTGTTGTGAGTTTGCTCGCTTTCATCGGATTTTGGAATATCTACGTCGTTCTCACCGAGCCATTCAACATCATTTTGAATAATGCACATCAGTTCATTAGCACGATGAGCAGCGACTCTTACAGGTCTAACTTTCCTATCAGTGTGCGTGTTTACTTTTTTATGGATATTTTCGATGTGACGATTTAGTGACTTGACGGAAGCATGATAGAGGCCACACGTTTTGCATGTTCGACTTGGTAGCCTCAATTTTACCTTCGGGCAAAAATAATCGTAGGGCATTTGCAGGAAATCTTTGAGTGAAGCACTTAAGCGTAGAGCTAAATTGACTGGAAGATCAAGAAGTTGTCCTTCTTCATCCAAAACCAAGTCATCAACTGTTTGTTTTACTTTTACAGGTGGTGGTAGAAACCTATTGTCTAGTAATCTAAATAGGCCACTTCTTGGACGACAGCATTCTGTATTTCTACATTTTACAATTTGAAGCAAGTATTGGCTCTCACGAACATGTTCTGAATACCATTTAATGTCTGGAAAATCAGGAAGATCTTCTGTTCACCTGCCCCAACATATTTTGCATTAACATTATAGCCATCAATTTCCATTGAACTCCATACTTCAGCTAATACATTTCCTGCAAATTCGAAATTAGATCTTTCTAAATGTTCATCAATTGTAACGCCACGTTCATCCAAATGAGACCCAAATTGGTCATGAGGCAATATTAAACCAGCCAGTTCCCGACTAAGAGGAGCCATTCTGCTCCCTACTCTGTTATACGCACTTCTTCCAGGAGCACTGGTAGCTAAAAACAATGCATCGAGATCATGTCGCTTAAAGTGTTGTATAGCAAACCCTATGACTTTTTGATATCGTGGATTTTCATCTGGCCCTCCATCAACCGTCATGATTACCACTGGTTTTACTAATCTAAGGTCAGTTTTAGCTAATGGTCGAAACTCTTCAAGTTCGAGAAGCATCTCGAAATCCTGAGCATGAGTATTAGCAGTAGATGAACTGTGCTTTCCACTTCGAATAGCGATGTATGTTGGTCCAGAATATCCAACGGCTTGCGGTTGTCCTAGCATATTGGAAGTGATTTTGATACCAGCATAAACTGATGGTATTAATTTATGACGCTCAGCGATTACCCAATCGTGATCAGGCAATTTGATTCTATATTCGATGTGAATTAGAAGAGGTGCTTGCTTATTTGCCGCAGTTACGCCCATAGGGACTCGAGCTTTATCATCTTGAGATACGAAAAATACTTGATCTGGTCCAAGTATGGATGCTATGTTCTCTAAATAATGGATTGATGTTTCAGCGAACTTGCTATCTAAGTGGCTCTTGTGGTGATCAGTTTGAGCCCGGATAAGCTTAACAGGGACTGTCGATACATGTCTTCGTCACTCTGCAGAATTAGATTTTCTGGGAATCAAACGAAGATATGTCCCACTGCGACTAATGTCAAATCCTATTTTACGTAATTCTTGTGTGAGTTCATCAAGAGTTTGTACGCTGCGAATTGATTCCGTTCGTCTTCTATCATCTGCTGCACTCACAAATAAAGCTATATCCGCGATTGTTTTCAATAGTGAATGTTGATTGCTTTCAAGATTAAGACGTCCCACTGAATCCCTCAGAGATAGTCTTTTTTTGTTTCTGGATTTCCATGACAAATATCTTCTAACTTTCTTTTCTTACCATCCCCATGTTTCTTCTGGGCAACTGCGTTTCGAACCTTCCTGTTTAAAGACTGTTTTGCTGTTTTTATTTCCTCGCTCAACTTAATGATCTGTTTATCAACTTCAGCACGGCTTGGCATAGTATCTCTGGTAGAGTACAAAGCATTCAGATTCTTTTCGAGTAGAGCAATCTTATTTTTCATAGCTTCCTGAGAAGGTTTTGCTCTCTGTTTATCTGTATTTTCATTAATTTTGCATTGCTGTTGTGATTCATTACCGGGTTTTATTTTATCTTCTTCCTCTTTTTTAATATTTGAAGCTGACTGTATAATTTGTATTTTTTCAGCAGGTTTATAAGTTGCCTAAAAATAAAAACTTTCTATGGCTTCTGCTAAAGATTCTCTTATTAAGCTACATAAATACAAAGTATGGCAATATATATGGTAAATACAAAACCTTATGGCATTAAATCTAATATGTTTAAACGAGCAATTCGTTCCGGTCACAAAATACAGGGTGTTAGTTTTCTGTATATATATATAGAACTAACATCCTGTACTTTGTGACCAATTGACGGAATCAATCATAAGAAATAAATCTATAATATAATGAATATTACCTCTATACTTTGAGATAGGCCATAATATTTTCTAATCAGTAAAGAGAAACTTTTTGGCGATTTCTAATATTTCTAGTACTCATAGGTACCCAAATGATTTCGTCACTCAACTTAGAAAAAACTTAGATTGGATTTATTCTTAGTCGCCGCTTGCAATTCTTCTTCGATTCTTTTAGATACAATAATATCTAGTTCCTTGTCGGATTTTGCTTGTAATTTGTAATTTCGCCACACTTCGTTAACTAACTTTTGTACTTTCGTACTTATATGAGATTTTTTAAAACTTTCAAACAATTTTTGGTGTAACTTGGATTTGTCTATGTGAAACGACAACTTATTTAAACATTAAACTTTGGATAATGGAATCAATGGTAACACAAATGTATGCTTTACTATGCTCACAATACGTCTACTCGCTATAGTATCCAAACGAAACAATACACTGATAGAGGAAATTTAGACAAGTGAACACCACGCGGTAATTCCCCTACTTGGTTCTAAAGCGAGTAGGGGAATTACCGCGCGCTGTTCACTAAACGTATGCATTATTTGCGGGAATCCCCGAAAATGCGTTTCGTTTTCAAGCAAAGACAATGTGAGGGTTGCCATTCGTGTAAAAAAGTGAATAACTACCGATGACGTAATCATCATCTAGACTCCCCTACCCCCCATGTCATCCAAAATAAGCAAAGCAAAGACCCCCCCGCCCCCCATAGTGCTCACGTAATACTTGAACAGCCCCTGTCAACCGTTCAAAATTACAAAAAACGTTCTAGTAACCCAAAAACGTTCTTCGAAGGATGAAAATTTCACTCAAATCATTAACTTATATTTTTTGGAAAGTGAAGGAACCGCGTGTGCAGGAACCTGAATACCGGGGCACGGTGACCGCTAAAAGGAACTTCAGGACACATTGTTAATCCTGTTTTATCCCAATACCTCCATCATTTTATTTTTGGAAATTTAAAGTACATTGTCAACTGGCAAGCTCACTACTGAAACGCTGAATCGAGTCTGTCATTAATTTTTTTCAATATTACGAGGCTTGTTCGATTGGTCAGGTTATCGTTAGAAACAATTCTAATCACTTAACTGACGTTTCGCACTGCTAGTTGTGTTTGTAAACGTCACAATGATCAGTTCCTGTCATTTGTATTTGACTGCGATTGAAACGTTTTTCGACAGCATCTTATGGACAGATGAATCCAACTTTAACCGAAATTGAATATTTAACAAGCACAATTTCCATTCATGGAGCGTGAAAAATCCACACGCTATTCGCCGACAGAGCTTTCAACGCCAGTTCGGAGTTAATTTAAGGGCTGGAGTGCTCAACAAAAAATTAATTGGACCATATGAATTGCCCGCCAGGTTGAATGGCCAGTTATATCTTGCTTGTATACAAAGCAGTTTGCATATGTACCTTTGGACGCATGCGTTTTCAATGCAATGGTGCCCAATGACACTTTGCACAGGATGAACGTTATAACTTAGACAAAGCCTTTCCTGGGCGTTGGATAGGTAGAGGTGATCACATACGATGGC